CCCCCACCCCGCCCTTGGCCTCACTCAAATCAGAGAAGGTGGAGCATTTGTTAACCAGCTGCACACCCCAGTCCTCACCATAGGCAAGTGTGATGGGGATACAGAGAAGAGAAGAGGCTGGTCCAGAGTTAAGGCAGAGGAGTAGGGCTGAGCCCAGGCAAAGGCCATGCATCCCAGGGATCCAAACTGTGTCTGACCCCACTGGGCTCAGGGTCTCTGAAGCCCTGAAAGGCTCAGGGTAGCTGAAATTGGGCTTCACTTAAAGAGAGGGCAAGGCCAGTGGATGGGACTCGTGAGGGGGAAGGGCACATGTGGTGAAGACCGAAGCAAGCCACTGGCCTTCTGCCAGTTCTGCCAGTAGGAGCCAACGCCCAGGTGGCCAGAGCTCAGGATTTGGGGGACCCCGTGCTTCCTCATCCTATCCCCATGCCCTCTATGACTTTGGAGGCTGCTCTGTTGTGCCCCCCTTGGGTACAACCCCCAAGACACCAGACTCTCAGGAATAATAATGGGGCAGGACCAGCTGCTGAGAGCCCAGGTAGCCTAATCCAGTTTGGGATTCAATTTTTCCTTTCTTTGTTTTTTCCTAGCATGATGGGACAGAGCTTAAGCCCTTCCCAGTGCTGGAGGTTAAAGCCCTTCCTTCCACTTGCAGGCTCCCTCCAACCCACTCAGTGGCGCCCTGAGCTGGGAGGCCACTGAAGCCACTCTGCAGCCCAACTTTTCATTAATTCTATGGGTGTGTGTGTGTGTGTGTGTGAAACTCTTCTTTCTGCATCAGTCCACGTTTGAGCCACAAAGAGCCATGAAGACCCTGTCTCCCACTGACATGGGCAGCCAGACCCCTACCATGCGCGGCTCCCCCTAGTTCACAGAGCAGAGATTCTGGACCCAGCGCCCACAGACTCTCACCCTTCTGGTGTCCCAGTGTCCCCCTCGCCAGCCTCAAGTAGCTCCCTCAGGGTCATAAAGGCTGTCTGCAGTGGACTCTGGTGACCGATTTGTGCTGAGGGGCCCATTTGTCCGAGCCCATCAGTCCCTCACCATCGCGCACTCCGGTGCCCTGCAGTCACTGTGGACCTCTGGACTGCACTGGCCAGAAACAATCAAACCGCAGGGTGGTTTTATCCCAGTGATAACGCCTTAAGCCTGGGTTTTAATTATTCCGTTCTAAACGTTGAGGAGGAAGTCCTTGTGGTCTGCGAGTCCCTGAGACCTCAGCAGTCCCCAAAGCATGGCCCAGTGTAACAGCAATGCTGGTGTGGAGGAAACTACCCAGCCCTGGCTGTGGGCAAGTGAGGCCGGGTTGACAGGAGGTACAGAGATGGGAAGGGCTGCCACAGAGTCTGTGCTGGGAACCGAGTCCTCTGCAGTGCTGCTGCTGTGCCCAGGGCAGTGCAAAGTGGCACATGTCCGGAGGGCAGAGGTTCCAGGTGGATTCTAAGCCAGAGCACCAGGCCTAATGGGAAGAAGAGGTGGATCTGAGCTTAGCCTGAGTGACAGGCCAGGTAGGGCCTCTTGGACGCCTCGATACCCACTGTGGTCCTTGACCAGGAGCAGAGGCCTCTGAAAATGAGCTATTCATTTTATTGAAGTTTACCATGAGTCCCTCTTAGATACCGCCCAGTAAGTGAAATCTCGCTCTCCTTAGCCAAGAAAAGCAATTTGGGGTAGCCCCCAGGCAGGAGAGGAGCCCGAACTGAGCCCTGGCAGAGCTGGAAGGAGGCTGAGGCAGCAGCTCCAAGTGCACCCACAGGGGGAAGGTGTGTGGGTGGGACTGCTGGACTGAGGAACGCTGCCCCTTCCACATAAGGCTCTCAAAATGCCCACCCCCTCACGCCACAGGGGCTGGGAGTCCCCCACCCTCTCCACCCCCATGTGGATGAGGGCAAACGCCTCTTGGCACGCGCACTGGCTGCTGAAGGAGCCTCCGCCTGAGTGCCTGACCCAGCCCAGCCTCACAGCACCTGGAACCCACTCCAGGAGCTAGGGTGAGGGGAAGAGTTCCAGGTCAGGGAGCTGGGAGGCAGGGGCACACAGACAGATGGACTGACCCCTCAAATCCCCCAGGCGCCTTCTCCTCAGCCGTCTGGCGCCACTTCAAGTGCCCCAGGGCCCCAGACTGTGGCCGGGCAGCCGTGCATCTCAGCTGGGGAGTGTCCCTACCCAAGTAAAGCAGGGGAGGGAGACAGGTTTTCTAAAGGACTTGATTCTACCAGGAAATTAAACTCTTAAAATCCAAAGGATGTCTTCCCCTAGGCTCACCAAGTAGTGTCCCTCTCCCATATAGGGCAGGGCCCCCATCTTTGCTCAAAACAGGCTGGCTGGGGTGTCCCCCACCCCATGATCCAGACCATTGGAACAAAGTTCTTTTGAGAACCCATTAACGGGAGCCCTGAGCTGGGTCTGCCTGGGGAGTGCAGCTAGAGGCAGGGTGTAGTGCTCCCCCTCACCTTGCTGTGAACAAGGTGTCCCTTGCTGGGAGCGCTAGTGTTTTCTTGGCCTGAAGGGTAATTCTGCACAGTTCATTCTGGGATCTGGCTCTAAATCTCAGGTTCAGAAAGGACAGTGGGCCCAGGTGGCCACACAGCAGGTAGCCCCTTCAGACAGATGCCAGCAGCTGGAGGGTTCTGTGTTCACCTGCCTCATGACTTGGATTTCAGTTGAGCCCCCAGAACTGTGGGGACACATAGCAGCCTCTTCCTTCCTGCTCCCTTTTCTTGGCAACCCAGACTTCCACAGAGGTCCAGCCAGGGCATGTCCATCAGGTGGAAGAGGGGTGACAGAAGGGCTTGGGGGGGGGGCACAGGCGCTACAACCGGCACTCCTCTCTGCCCCAGATCCAGCCCAGGTGGCTCTGAGTGTCCCTGGTCAACACCGGAAAGTGTTCCCAGGAGAGAAGGACCCATAGAGGCCAGCCATGAGAGAGGTCCCTGCCCCAGTGATCACAAAGCAGTGAAACCGTCCAGAAAATTGTCCCTTTTTATTCCATACGCAAGTAAGTAGATTCATTTAAAAAAAAAAAGTCTTCACCAGAGAACAGGAGGCGGCAGCCCACAAGAGAAGCCCCAGTCTGGTCCCCTGTTCAGAGTGGATGATCGGATCTGACAGGTTGCCGGGGTTCTCGCTCCTCCAAAACCCACGGAGGGAGCTATTCACAGCCCTTCCCACAACCTGAGGCTAGTCACAGCCCTCTCGTCCTGGTCCCTGCCTGGTCCCAGGAAAGCGACATTTTGTGTGGGGAGAGCAGTGTGTGTGGAGGGGGCAGTCGCCTCACAGCACCTTGCACAGTCTGTAGTTTTTGTTCGGTGCAGGCTGGGCTTGGCCCGAGGTCTGCAGCCTCTCCCAAGGGGAGGCCAAATTGCTCCTCGACTGAGGCCTGTGCGCCGGAGTGCCTGGAGCTGCGGGCTCTGGGGTGCAGGCGGGCAGTTTCTGTATTTCCCGCTCTCGCAGCGGGGATCCAGTCTAGCCACTGGTGGGGAAGCCACAGTCCCCGGCATCCCGGTACATTCTGGGCC